TTCACTTCAGCATATGTTCTAGCCAAGATGTTGAAATCTACTTAAATATTATTGAAGTATTAATAATAGAATGCAATTGCATATTGCAAATCTTAAGTGCTTACGACATTTGAATTCAGTCTAAATCCATGTTATAGGAATCCTGTAGGCATGCTCTCTACTCATATGTTGAGTATGATTTTATAAATATTTGATTTGTTTAGAGTATATTAATTACATAAAACAAGAGGCTATAACATTTTCATATATTTGCATGATGACTTTCCATAGTCACTCCATTATTCCCTCCTGTCTTTCTCCTTACCCTGTGATGCCCTCCCTTTTCCCAGATATCACTTCATGTGTCCCTTCATACCTTCATGTGTCCTTTATTGATTCATCTATTCATTTTATTTATATAGGATTTTATGTTTCTTTGGGGCTGGTTATAGTGATATGGTAAAAATTATTTACATGAACATGAACATTTTGCCAATGGCTATAGCACTGACAAAAGCATCTTTCATTTCCCAGCAACCATTAACAACTTAATATTGTCAAGGAAAGTTAAGATTTTGTGAATCACTCCCCACTTCATTATAGAATGTTACCAACCTAATATTGGTCTTATGTGGGTCATCAATGCTGCTGTGAGTTCATTGGCTTTTTATGTTTTGTCACTGCCCACTCTTTGAGGGTTTTATAGATACCAAGTTAAATCAGTATTCTCATTCTTGAATGAAAAAAAAAAAAGAAAACTCAAAAATGTTATGCTTATGACAGAAAAATTTCCAACACACCCAATTTATCTCCCTAAAAGCAGAATGGGTAAAAAAAACGTTTAGGACTTTCCTAAAGAGACTCAGACATAATTTTCTCAGGAAAAGATATTAAATGAATTGTAATGTGGAATGCCCCACCCCCCAAGCATTCAACACTCAGAGACCAAACCCGAAAGTGAGGGACAGGATGACAGGCATCCTGGTATTCAGCTCAGCTGTGCTGGGACTGTGTCAAACAGCTCCGCTGACTTCATGACTCCAGCCGATATGGCTGGGCCAATTAGACTTTCAAAGGTATTGCTGGTAATTGTTTCTTGGCATCTCCTCAGGGAAAGTCTCTACGCTTTTAAAAAAACACACATACATAGATCTCAGAAACCCGTGCTGAGAGCCACAGTGGGAAATGAAGACAGGAATTTCACAACAGGTAGCGAAGTGTCAGGCAGAGCACTGTAGTTCTAGCATAAAGAGATGTGGTACCCTTTGCTAAAGTCTCACCATCTGAAGATGCTCATTTCGGATTCATTGTCTAGGGTTCTAATAGTCCATGATGTCTGAGCAGGAAGAGAATTTCTTCATATCTCTATTTCATGTTGATTTTTGGAGCCTTTCCACTGAGGTTGAGAGGGTAAATGATATTAATTACCTTTTACGTATACTCAGAAATATTTTTTTGGTATTTTATGCTTAGAAAACAACTCTCTCTCTCTCTCTCTCTCTCTCTCTCTCTCTCTCTCTCTCTCTCTCTCTCTCTCTCTCTCTCTCTCTCACACACACACACACACACACACACACACACACACACACACACACACTCACTCTCACACTAGTTCTCCACCTCTCTATCTTACACACACACACACACACACACACACACACACACACACTTAATTTTATAACTAGTGAAGGGCCAAGATGAGAAGAGATAGACAGTAAATAAAATGAAATATAAATAAGACATTTAAAGAAAACCAACTTTATTTAAAGGAAAGAATTTGAGAACACAAATGTTGTGTGTCATTATATTTTCTTTCTAATCTGTAGTTATATTTGTAATTTTATTTATTAAGGAGCACCTACAAAAAATTATTCCAAAACCTAGTGTGGTGGAGCACCTAGGATAAGGAAATGAACTAACTATACACAGAATGACAGGAAAGAGAGAGACAGAGACAGAAAGGGAGAGAGAGATAACTAAAACAATGAGTGATGACATATATGTATGAAATGTCATACGAAAATCCACTTTCTTAACCTAACCTAAAATAATTGAAACTTTAACAAGTAATCTTTCTAGAGAAAAGTTATACATGTGTTTACTTTTGAATCCTTTAAAAATTTTAACATATTTTCCATGTGTATGCACATGTGCACAGACCAGAGGACAAGTACATGAGTCAGTTCTCTCCTCCCATCCTTGTGTCCTCAGGCTCACACTTGGATCCCCTCACTCAGTGGTTTTACCTGTGGCAAGATCTCTCTGACCCATTGTCTGATTCTTTGATGAGGAAAATGAAGTTTTTATCCCATAGGAGGTGTGAAACCATTACTTGAGAGTCAAGAGAGACTTAATTATATCTTTAATGTTTCTTCCTTCTGTACTAAATGGTCTTAATTTTCCTGAGATTATAGTTTTCAAAAACAACATGCCAGCTATTCAGTTTGTATATTAAACTATTTGTAAAATGAGTGATTTTTTTTTTTTTACATTAAGCCCTAAGAGTGTACAGGAGAAATTGTTTTGTTTTTTTTTTAATTATGAGAAAATTGAAAGTCAGTGTATTTAATTTTTTACCTATTTTTCATTGCAAAATAAACAAATAAAAGGGACCATGATTGAATGAATTAAGTTTTGCAATACTTGATATTTTTTACATGTTTAAGAGATGAAGTGTATAATGCTGAAAGGGAGAATGTCAGGCAGCTAAATTTTATAAATTTTTAAGTTATTTAAGTACAAATTATGTATACTCACCTTTATGAAAATAGGTGAGTGATTTCACTGCCATTTTATCAGAGACAACAATTTCTACCATAATTATGATTTGTACATATTATCAAAAGTAATAATTGTTCTCCTCCTGTGATTTTTCTCTAGCTCCTTGGAAATATTCAGGCAAGCTTTCTTGGAGTATAGAAACTTACTACATGGTGTTCTATTTCATGTTTGGAAGCTGTTCCTGTGAACTAACCACACAGAATGATTTTCTGAACCAACTTGCATCTGTGCAAATGCCATTGTACTGCACTTTGATTTTGCTTTGTGGTATCTACACCACAGTTAAAATTTTATACAGTATCAAGCATTAAAAATCTATCACAACATTTGGCAACCATACTTGGAAATTCTATTCTAAATATTACAATATTATAACATAGTACCCCTTGTTCAAAAGGGGCTTTTGAGAGTTTGATAATAAACTAATTTAATCAATTCTCTTAAAGTTTTTTCCTCATTTTTAGTATTTGTCTAGATTCCAACATGAAGCCTTTGTATTCCTTGTGACATTAACATAAATTACATTATGTTATCAAAAAGGTGTCCTCTCTGAAAAAGATTAATTTTTATGAAAGAGATTCACTTGAAAGCTTATTAACATGATAATGTGATAAAAAGTTCAATCACAATGACAGCAAACTCTGAATATTTCTTCTTGGCTGTTAAAGCTACAGACAAGGATAGCTTGTGTGTACCCCATTTGTCATGACTAACTTCTTATTTGCTCATCTCTACAGACCTAACAAAGAAGCTAAGCCCCAACCCTTTGGGATGAACACAAACAGATAAATAAGGAAAAATCTTTCAGGTAATTTAGTGTAACCAGTGACTGGTTGAAATTCATGTGTTCATCATCTTTGTGGACTATAGCCAGAGAGCCCAGACTCCTTGGTTCACTCACTTACTTATACTTTAGGTTTTGAAAAGGGCATCCAGAGTTATCTTGGTATTATATAGGCCAAAAATATTTTTTACATACCACCTTACTTTCCAAAAGGAACTGTTATATATCATAGGTCAGTGTATAAGAGGGTTGCACAGATGCACTTACTCTCATGTCCATTGGTTAGTTCAAATAAAGATAATTATGAATGAGATTGCATCTGACTATTAGGTATAGTTATTAATAACTCTGGACATTCTAGTTGTATGTCTCAAGATATTTTTTTTGCCCCCAGAGCTGAGGACCGAACACAGGGCCTTGCTCTTGCTAGACAAGCACTCTACCACTGAGCTAAATCCCCAACCGCATATCTTTTTTTTTTTTCCTGAGACAGGGTTTCTCTATGTAGCTTTGCACATTTCCTGGATCTCGTTCTGTAGACCAGGCTGGCCTTGAACTCACAGAGATCCGCCTGCCTCTGCCTCCAGAGTGCTGGCATTAAAGGCATGCACCACCACCACCTGGCTCAAGATTCTTTAGATATACACATGTAACTAGAGTTGAGTGCATTTTAAAAATTTTTCAGTAGGTATGTATATTATTATTGGCATGAAACTTACATGTTATTACAAATATGTAATTGTTAGATGTCACAATGAAATAGTGATCATTTCAGAAATAAAAGCAAAGGTAAAATGATTATCAACATGTGTGTAAATCCAGCTATATACAACTTGAAAGTTTTAATATATATATATGTATGTATGTATGCATGTGTGTATACATATATATTCATACACAGACACAGACACAGACACAGACACACACACACACACACACACACACACACACACACACACACATATATATATATATATATATATATATATACATATATACATCTGTCTGTTGAGAAACATTCCCATATACTGAAATTAACAGAGTCTGAGGCTGGAAATTGCCTGTGTTATACATGTGATGTAGAGAGAAGATTGTTTTCCATATTAACCACTGTCAAACCATTAGATTAAAGTGACAGTTCACATTTCAATTGGGAAAACCAGATATTGTTGGCAAAGAATTTTGTAATTCTCTGATCAAAACTTGCATTGGTAGAGAATCAAAGATTCATATCTATGTCTTTGTTTATTGCAAGCCCCATGATTGCATATAAATGTGTTTAGATGTGCATAGGAGTGTATGTGCATTTTTAATATAGATTAATTTTCAAAAATTAAATTGAAATGTTTGGACACATTGTAGCTTGAATAATAAAGATTCACAAAAATGTATAATATTTGAAATCTCTTGATTGTGCTGTGGTCTCTATTCAGAACAAATTTTCTAATATACACAGATGGAGACCCACAACCTTACAGTGGTGACAGAATTCATCCTGCTGGGCATCACTGAACGCCCTGAGCTACAGACCCCATTGTTCATGCTGTTCCTCATCATCTATCTGATCTCACTGGTGGGCAATTTGGGCATGATCATCCTCACCATGGTGGATTCCAGGCTGAAAACACCTATGTACTTCTTTCTCAGACACCTCGCTATCACAGATCTTGGTTATTCAACTGCCATTGGACCTAAAATGTTAGCAAATTTTGTTGTCAGTCAAAATACAATATCATTTCATCTTTGTGCCACACAATTAGCCTTCTTTCTTCTGTTCATTGCTTGTGAACTGTTTATTCTATCTGTGATGTCCTATGACCGCTATGTAGCCATCTGTAACCCTTTGCTCTACAATATAATCATGTCACAAACTATATGTTGGGTACTGGTGGCAGTCCCATACCTTTACAGTGTATTTGTTTCTCTCATAGTCACTATAAATATTTTCTCTTCATCCTTCTGTGGCTACAATGTCATCCATCATTTCTACTGTGATGGACTGCCCTTGATTTCTCTGCTCTGCTCAAATACAGAAGAAATTGAAATGATAATTTTAATTTTATCTGCTATTAACTTGATTTCCTCTCTTCTGGTCATCCTCATCTCCTATCTGCTTATTCTCAAAGCTATTCTCAGGATGAACTCGGCTGAGGGCCGACGCAAGGCTTTCTCCACCTGTGGGTCCCACCTGACAGTGGTCACTGTCTTCTATGGAACTTTGATATTTATGTATGTGCAACCTAAGTCCAGTCACTCCTTCAACACTGACAAAGTGGCTTCCATCTTTTATACCCTAATCATCCCTATGTTGAATCCCTTGATCTACAGCTTGAGGAATAAAGATGTAAAACATGCCATTAAAAAGACAGGGAAAACTATATACAATAACTTCTCATAGAAGTCACAGGTGTTAAAACTTATCTTATTTCACAACAAATAAATTTAAATGCTTTATAAGCTTCAGTGAGGAAAATACTAAAGAAATACTCTTCTCTGAAGAGGAGAAAGATTATAAACAAAAAATTGAAGAAATAGGGTAGCACTGAAAAGTTGTTTTAAAATGTGTAGACCCAAAGAGGGTAACAATGTGTTTATTATGTATTAATGAAGATAAAGGCAGGTGTCTTGATGATTTAAATAAGTTTTATGAATTGGACTTTACAATAAATTGTATGGTGCTCATGTGTATCTGTGCATTTATTTGTATAAAATGCATTGTTATTATTTTAGTATTTAGATATATTTAGTATTCATATGCTTGTATATGAAACTGTGTTAAAATCTTATCAGAATATCAAGCACGTGAAGTCTATCACTTTGATATTAAGGTCACAGTAATACCAGAGCACACAGACGCCTTCCTGGCACAGACAATTCTGCATCCTGATTCTGCTTCACTTCTCTTTCATATCAGTTCATATATGATTGCAATGGCAATAATGAATAGCATATATTTAGTGTTTAAATAGTTCCTGATTTCAACGTATCTTCTAATGTTGTATAATTCCAAATGTAATGTTTGTGTGTATGTGTGTGTGTGTGTGTGTGTGTGTGTGTGTGTGTGTTTATGTAAGATGGCTGATGTTTTCCATTGCAACTTCTACTACTTTATTATGTCTTGCTATTGGATTATCTTAATTTCTTACTTCCCATTTCTCTTTACTGAATGACTTAGCATTTACTTTCTAGATGGAAAGTGTATTTCTTGCAAGTCATTTACTAAGTTTTGATAAATGGATGAAATGCCAATTCTATAATTAATTGGAATATGTAGGCAGGTCAATCAGAATTCCAAGGTCAGCATGGACTACATAGTTAATCTGAGATCCATCTGAGTTACATAGAATGACTTGAAAAATGAGAACATTAATAAGGGAATAGCTTTAGGTTTTGTTTGACTATCATTCTGTGGGTTTGACAAAAAAGTCGATCTTATACATTATCAGATGAGTAGAACCAAATATAACTTCAAATGTTTCTGTGGCAAAGAAAATCATCACCTGTAACAAAACTGATAATAAAACTATGAAAATTAATATTTAAAATAGATATAAATAACCAAACTTTGTCATTCTAGCACTAGACACTGAGCATTGGACATTCTTTGATAAACAACATCTCTATGTCTACAAACACAATATTCAAACAAACAGCATGTAGTAGACTATTAAAACTCAATAAAAGTTTAATTTCATAAACTTGTCAATTAGTTTGCACACTATTTTGTCTCAAAGAAGAGAACTCCAAACCATTTGTGAAAAGCAATTCATCATCACAAATCCTCTTGACAACAGGATTTAAAATGTTTTAAACAGTGCTCACAATTTTCTCTCGGTTAACAGCAACGGAAAAGGCTTTTATTCTAGAAGTATTGTTTTTTTTTTTTTTTTTGGTTTTTTTGAGACAAGGTTTCTATGTGTAGCTTTGTGCCTTTCCTGGAACTCACTCTGTAGCCCAGGCTGGCCTGGAACTCACAGAGATCCACCTGCTTCTGCCTCCCGAGTGCTGGGATTAAAGGCGTGTGCCACCACCACCCGGCTTCACATTTTCAATTTGTTCATTTTTTTATTCATTTCACATACAAACCATAGATCCCCCTTTCATCCCTCCTTCTGCTCTCCCCCAGGCTTCCTCCACAATCCCAATCCTCTACTCAAAGAGGGCAAGTTCTCCCATGGGATGACAGCTAAGCCTGGTACATTAAATTGAGGCAGTACCACCCCACCCCCCCCGCTTTATCAGGGGTGAGCAAGGTGTCCCACCATAAGTAATGGGATCCAGAAAGCTGGCCCATGCCCCAGTGATCGATTCTGATCACACTGCCAGGGGCCCCTCAAAAAGACCCAGCTATACAATTGTCTCTCATAGGCAGAGGGTCTAGTCCAGTCCCATGCAGGTTTCACAGCTGTTAGTCTAAAGTTCCTGAGTTCCTTTGGGATTGGATCAGTCTTCTCTGTAGATTTCTCCATCATGATCTTGATATATCCCCCCCCCCCCCCCGCCACTTCCCCTTGCTCAGAGCTCAGCCGGGTACGTGTTTGTGGATCTCTGCATCTGCTTCCATAAGTTACTGGATGAAGACTCTGTGATGATAGTTAGGGTATTCACTAATCTGATTACTAGGGTAGGCCAGTTCAGGCACCATCACCACTGTTGCTAGTAGTCTAATCTGATGCCACTGTTTTTTTTTTTTTACAGCTGAGTAATACTCCATCATGTATATGTACCACATTTTCTTCATCCATTCTTCAGTTGAGGGGCATCTATCTTGCTTCTAAGTTCTGGAGATTATGAATAATGCTGCTATGAACATAGTTGAGCAACTGTCTTTGTTGTATGCTTGAGCATCCCTTGAGTTTATGTCCGAGAGTGGTATCATTGGGTCTTGAGGTAGACTGATACCCAGTTTTCTGAGACGTCGCCATACTAACTTCCAAAGTGGCTATACAAGTTTGCACTCCCACCAACAGTGGAGGAGTGTTCCCCTTGTTCCACATCCTCTCCAGCATAAGCAGTCATCAGTGTTTTTGAGCTTAGCCATTCTGATAGGTGTATGATAGTATCTCAGAGTCATTTTGATTTGCATTTCCCTGATGACTAAGGTTGTTGAGCCCATCCTTAAATGTCTTTCAGACATTTGGGATTCTTCTGTTGAGAATTCTCTGTTTAGATCTGTAGCCCATTTTTTAGCTGGTTTGTTTGGTATTTTGATGTCTAGTTTCTTGAGTTCTTTATATATTTTGGAGATCAGCCCTCTGTCAGATGTGGGGTTGGTGAAGATCTTTTCCCATTCTGTAGGCTGTCATTTTGTCTTATGTTGGTGCACTTTGTTCATTTCTAACTAGAAGATAAAAGGCACAGTCCCTCTGGAGCATTTCCTATAGGTTTTATCAAGTTTTATTAAGTGGATATAAACAAGGTGAATTAGGGGCACTCATAGTATATTCAAACCTGCTTGTGCTGTTCCTTGAGTTAGAGTGCACTGCAGAATATCTGAAGGATTTGGGGGAGGGGCTGCAATCTAAAATTTCAAGATTAATTATGCTATCTTTGTTAGATGCTTTTTAAAATAAACATATTGGCTCTTTGCTGTAGAGTGCAAGTCACATACATTTTTCAAATTCTGATTTACTCAAAGTAATGCCTAGCAATTAAAATCAATATTTTATCTAGTAAAGAAAATCTACCTTCATAATTTACAATATTGTGGTCAAATACAGTTCTTCTTAAAGAGTTTGTAATATTCCCAATTAATTAATATACCTCAAATAAGGATACTCATGAAAGCATAGAAAATACAGAAATGCTTTTAAACTTGATGTGTTAAACCAACAATATATTAAGTTTTGATACAAAGTGAATACAATTAATAAGCCTTTAAAATTTTTGCAATAGGGTTTGTGTATTCCCTTAGGGGGCATATCCCTAAAGAACAATAAATCTCCCTTATTCAGCAATCATAAATTAACATCAATAGATTCTCACTCAGGGTTAAGACTGCTTCACTAATTCCCGCTTTGTACTTTGAGATTTTCCTGCCTTGGCCTCATGTCACTCTTGTGCATGAAGTTACAGCCACTTTCAGTTCATTAGCACAACAGTTCTGATATGTCTGGAAATCACAGTTTGCCTATGATCATGGACTACTCCTGATGCTTACACTTCTCCTCATAACCACACCTTTTCTGGGATGATACCTTGCTAGCAAGTGATATGATATAGATGTCACATTTAGGGCTGTGTATTTTGAAGTCTTTTATTCTCTAAACCCTGAACGTTTTGGGTCTCTATTAATCAACATTTATTGCAAAATAATGATTCTGTGATGCATGTTGGAAGACACACTTATCTATAATGATGAGTCTTTAGAGTCTCCTCATATCAGAAAGCTTGTTCTGAATAGAGACACCAGTGTCATCAGATTTGCAAACATATAGGATGCCTTTTATTTTGGAAACTAATAAAAATAATATATTTTAATAAAATATTTGTGTTTGAGACTATCTATACCAAAGAAATATATATGTACATTAATTCATTTCTTTCAATATTTTTTCATTTTCCAAATGGAACATGAGCAGTCAATTTCATCTCATGATTATAGTAAAACTATGACAAGGATTTATTCTCTTTTGTAAAATACTGCATTATTTGTAATCTCTTCTTAGTCAGTCAATGCTGGTGTTCAAAATATTCAACAAAACTAATAATGTCTACTCCTTTATATTTTAATCTATGAGATTTTGGATGTGTTCACATGTATTAACTTTGATTTTAGAAGTTACCTATGAAGTGTTCTAAATTTGCCAGAAAAGTTATGTAGATAATATACAGAAAGATTTCAAATCATATCAAATTACCCATGTAATTGAAACTTTTATTTAATTTTATCTGTATACTGTCACTCACAACAAAAATAAATGCAAAATATTAAGCATTAAAATGTATTATAATGAAACAACACACCACTTTTTCCTTTCTCCAAGAATAATTGTGAGTCTTCATTATTAAATTAGTGCTAAAAACCAGTCTTCCTAATTTGCTTAGGCATCTTTATATGTTTGTAGGATCTTGACTGTAATATACAAATAAATTTATCAAAATTATAATGAAAATTGTCCTTAGAATAAAGTTTATGAGTACACATTGATATCACATAGATATATTACTTGTGGTGCATACAAAGGAATCAAGATGCATGATGTGAAAGACACAAAGAATAAATAAGAAAGAAAATTCAAAAATAAATCATAATAAAATAGTAAAAAATAAATAGAAATACAGCACAAATCCTGTGTTAGTGATGGCGTAGTGGAGAAAAAAATTGAAATAAGTACAATGAACAATATGCTTGACTTAGTTACCCACCTATTTATCATTTCAGATCAGTGAAGCATT